TTTACGGAAGCGTCAGCAGTGGCGTAGAAAATATCTCTTCGTTGATTGGCTGCTGCTCGACGCTTGCTGCTTGCTGCGTGCAGTCTGTACTAGGCTGAACGCACTTATCGGGTGAAAGAAGAAGCGTTTCAGAACGCACATTGAATTTCGAATGACTTGACGAACGCCGAGCGTGAGCCGTGCAGTGGCTAAAGTGGCTTTGCCGCGGCACGCAGCCAGTCCCTTTGACTGTCAAACTATTTACGTATTGAGATCGGTTGAAAATTCGAGGAACTTATGAACAGGTAAACTAACAAAAATGCTGCGCGGGTACGAGGGCGTGAGGTACATCTCGGATAAGCAGATGGTGGTGTTTGACATCGGTAGCGCGTACACAAAGTGAGTATCGCCAGGGAGGCGAGAGATTTACTTTTACGTCCCCCTGATTGATGCTTTTCGATTCGATGGTGTGTATTTTGTATACCGAGCGTTTGTCACGATTACAGATTCGGCTACGCGGGCGAGGCGACGCCACGCGGTATCATTCGAACGGAGGTGAGATGCTCGGAGTCGAAGAAGACGCGCAAAATCGTCGATTACAAGGACACCGAGGACCTGTATCAACTGCTCGTAGACTTTCTCCATTTATTGTTCTTTAAGTAAGACAGTGTCTGTGTCGTTTCGCAACTGTAGCACATAGACCGATTTCTTTTGCAAGATCGTATCACGATTTTGCGCAACTTTCGGTTTTTCTGCTTAAACGTCTCAGTCGACGCGTCCCATAGGATTTCCATGTAAATCGACTCGTGTGGCGCAGGTACGTTGTGGTAAGCCCGAAAGATGTGAGGATATTGCTCCTGGAGTCTCCGCTGGCGGTGACGCTGTTCCGAGACACCCTCGCGAAAGTCATGTTCAGACACTTCGAGGTCGGCTCTATACTGTTTCTGCCGAGCCACTTGGCGACGATCAGCACCCTCGCTGTCGACACTGCCCTGGTGCTGGACGTTGGATACCGGGAGGCGACTCTGATCCCGATCTTTGAGGGGATACCGGTGCTCAAGGCCTGGCAAGCGTTGCCTCTGGGCGGACAAACTGTCCACGAGTGAGTCGCGCCTTTCCCTCTCTCGCGTTGAGGTACGCCCGGCAGGAGCGCGCACGATTCTATTTCTCTCGCGATTCGTAGGAACTTGGGAAAGTACTTTCGCGACGCGGCAAGCAGCCTGGACTTGTCCGAGAAGATGCTGGAGGACATCAAGGTGAGAATGTGCTTCGTAACCACGCTAGAGAGAGCCGCGAAGCTAGGGACCGAGGCCGCTCCGACTCCGCCGCCCGACGTCACGTATCCCGGTGTCAGGAGGCTCTTGATACCCGGCGAGATCAGGGAAAAGGCGTTCGAGGTACTGTGGGAGAGGGACAACGATAATCTCTCGCTGCCCACTATGATACTCGACGCTATCGTTAAGGTAAAGCCCGGTCTCTACCGTAACTTTTTGTTACACCGTGCACAATCCCTGGTAACATTTCCATTGCAATTCTGCCGTAAAACTGTACGAAAAATCACGCGTTAACTCTCGGGCAGATCGTGCGTTTTCTATTTCCAACTTGGACTACCTTTCTGTTGGCAGAAACTTGCACTCGTCGTGGTGCAACAGAATTGTCGAAGATATACGTGTATGCATTTACGTACAGCGGAAAATGCCTGCGCAAATCGCAGTGCAATATAATCGCGCCAGATTTGTAGCAGCGCCTACTGCTAGTAAATACATTTAGCAGAATTCAACAAGAATTACGGCAGATGCTTGCACGTTCTTTTCTGCCGGTCGGATCTGTACTCAAAACTCTGCCGCAAATGTCCATGAAGAGTTTAACGCGATCTGCTGTTATTCTTCTGTCAGGCAGATACTTCGATATTGTTTTCACATTTCCGCTGCATGTCTACTTTTGAGCGAATAGTATAAAATTTTACAGTAGCTTACAGCAGACTGCTGCAATAGTAAGTACTTGTCAATACCAGATATTATGCACTTTTGTCGCAATTTTGTGCCATTTCTTGCGCACTTCTGCGGGTCGTATCTGAACTGTCAGATTGTGTTACCAGGGATAGAATCTCCCCCCCCCCCTCACGTTTTCTACGCAACCAAGCGCAGGTCTAATGTTACGTCGTTTAACTTGAAACCAGTGCCCGTTGGACATGAGGCGCGTCTTGGCCGAGAATATAATACTCGTCGGAGGGACAAGCATGACCAAAGGCTTCGCGAGTCGTCTCAGGTCGGAACTGCTGGCTCTGGTCAAAAGCGATCTGTACAAGACCGCGTTGAAGGTGGAGTCGTTTAAATTCCACACGGCGCCCAGCAAACCGAATTACACGGCGTGGCTGGGCGGTGCGATCTTCGGCACGACCGACTTGCCGCTGCGTTGCTTGACGAAGGAAGTGTATCTAAAGATGAATCGAGTTCCCGACTGGCCTAATCTTATGGACAATCAGAAGGATGAAACTTCTTACGAAATCTGAAGAACCGAGCACGCCACCAAGTATTTAAAAGAGCAATCTATAAAAGAAGGGCAAGTAGACAATTGTATTTGTTTTATAATTATATGTAATTATTTATAAATTGTAATTATTCATATTGTACATATAATCGTTTACCAATCTTGTTAATTTTACCGATGCGCCTTTTTATACTTTATATAATTACAACCGCAATTTCACAAAATACTGCTGTAACTCCAGAACTGGTTGATGAAAATAAAATTTAAAATATACATCAGGAGAGCGGACTGCTGTTGTTGATTCTCTTGTGCGTTATATATTTATACAACGTGAGGGACCGAACGCTCTTGATCATAGAGTTGTAAGCAGGGTGAGCTTCTCGTTAAGCTGCAGCTGCGTTTTTATCAACTGAGACAGCGCGACAACCATCAGGAGGTCCTTGACATTACTGTTAAACATTTCGTCGAACTGATCGCTCGTCATTTTCGGCACGGAATGCACCATATCCAGAAGGGCCCTGCCTACCTGAAACGACAGAACAATTGTGCATTCGTCTTGGCTGGACAGTCGAGAAGCGGTTTACAGGCGAAAGCAAGCGTATATCTGTATTTACTTGATTGTCCGGCAGCTGTTTCCCCGCTAGAACGTCATCGACGTACGCCAGCACTTGCTCCAACATTAAAGAAAGCTTGGAGCAAGCCTCCGCGACCTGCGCAAGATCCATCATGGGTTCTATCCCCCCGGCAGATTTAATTCCGGACGCCTGTACGTGAGACGGCAGCTGAGTCTTCGAGCACAGCTGCAGGCCCACCACTTCTGGCTCGTAGCACGTAATCTGTATATAAAAAGATACGACGGTGTTAGAGGTAGGAGGTAAACCGCTAACCAAAATCGTGTGTACACCAACGTCTACCAGTGCACTAAGATTCGACAGTAAAATGCCCAGTGGGCATTGCTTTGTTTACTGTCTTGTTTGATCTCTTTAGATTCTTTTTAGTGTCCCAGCAGGGCCAAGTAACGCCCGCTAATGCCCCCCAAAAATGCCTAGCGACGCTACAAATCTCTATGAAACAGCCTTGCGTGCTGCACAAATTGCACGGTGTACATTCGTCACTTTGTCTCGACAAACTGACATTCCAGCGAACCTGAACTTTGACCGGAGTGAACATGGAGCCCTGCTTGCCGTTCGGCACGCCCAACGGGACGCAAACGTAGGCCTTGATCGCCATTCTCGTCGTGTTCGCCAGTGTAGTGTCGACAGTCAGGTGCACCGGATTATTGCACTCCCGCACGTAATACTCGTGGATGACGGACGAGTGCGTGGTGACCTGCGATACATTCCGTTTAGTCGCGCGCCACCAGGGGGGCAAGTACGGCCCGGTGAGGAACGATTCGTCGAGACAAAGCTGCTTTCCTTTTACACTCAAGTGATACTGAGTCACTCAGTTATGTGAGTATTTTATACTGAGATATGACATCATTAATGTGAGTCTATTAAACTCACTAAAGCACACGGTCTTGAACGTGTGCAAAACTTTTAAATCTGGTTGAATCTCACTTCTCAAGAACCAAAAGGAGCATGCATTCAACTGAGTTATGACGTCACAAGTGAGATTTATCCGAGTTTTCATGTAAAAGGAAAGCAACTGATGTCGAATTCCACTCGGCAGCAGTTTGCCGGTGCCGACGTCGGTCGACGAGTCATTTCTCGCCGGGGAAGCGAGCGTGAGAAACAACCTCGTTGCCGGTGGCCCACCAACCGACGATATTCTCCTGCGCGTTGACCCGGTGATTCAGGTCGTACAGATCCATGCCGTACGTGAGGTCGGCCTCCACCTGGCTCTCGGACTCCTTATGCGGCACGCAAAAGCAGTTGGTCACCTCGACGACGCCCTTCTCCACGGTACCTGGAAACAACGAGTGACGTGACACGCGGCGTCGGGGACGTCGGCGAGTGTCGCGCGCGTCTCCGCGGCCGGACGCCAGGTGGTCGGCGACCGGTAACGGACGCCGGGCGATCCGTTGTCCGACGATACGTTACCCAGTAAGGTGCCGATGACGCGCAACGATTCCGCTTTCCGTCGCTCGTACGCGTCCACGACTTGGAACAACACCACGGGGTGCACCTTGACGGTGAGGTTAAGCGCCATGTTTACGGCGGTAGGGATCGGAATGAACGTGCCTCCGTTCTCTGCCCCCGTTCACGACAATCGATACTCTCGCACCACACACGATCGCCAACTGATTCAGGCGAGTCCGAAAAAGATTGAGATTTGACCAATCACAGTAAAGTTTGCTAATCTCAAGTTTTTAGTGACTTTTAAGCGGGGAGCACACACACTTTTGCATAAGTGCATAAACATACGCATAATGAATTTGATTGGTCCTCGCCATGGACCTAAGGGTGCCGTCCCATGGCGCGTATCGCGATACGCGCGTATCGGGCGTATCAACTCGTCGACCAATCACGGACGATCCGCCGTTTTTGATACGCTCAACAATCTTCTGAACATTATTCGAGCGGATCGCACACTCACAAGTACATCGTAACGTACGTGTGGGTCGAGAGCCCTCCTTCTTGGGTTAGGTTAGGTGACATATTGACAGTAAGCCCAACATTCCCAGCAAACACACAGCAACAGTAACATAACTGTTAGTTGTAATTTCCCAACTTATTGTTGAGTGGAATCAACTAACAGTTATGTTACTGTTACTTTGTGTTTATTGAGAGACGTGTATAAAAAAAATAAAGCTAATTATAGAAGAGAAGCTAGTCTTTATGATGGAAGACAAGGAGAATACAACACCTGTGAGTATATTTCTAACAATACTATTTACGCTTTTTAGGTATGATCTAGTACATGCGGGGAGTAAATCATAAAACATATAATTTTATT